ACACTTTAAAAACAAGTTATGCTTTTCTATTTTACATAGCAGATAAAGCTACCTTACTTTAAGCCAAAAAAATCAAAGAAATTGGTGAGGTGGGTCAAAAGACCTAGAAAAGTCATCAGCTTTTATCAGTGAAAACTTTACTGGTTCGGAAGTGAGAAAGCCCATATTCTATTCAAAATGATAGACACATCTGAACATTTTAATAAAGGCATAGGACCTATGTGAGGAAAATTATGATTTAAAAAGAATTTGAGTGCTACTCCATGTATACTAATGAAGGGTTGCTGTTACCAGTTTTTGTACTGAACGGAGAAATGTGATTTCAGTTTGAACATCAACTTTCAAAACGGATCTAAAATGATTGCTTTTCTGTTTAAAATGTTTCAGTGCACACTATCTCAAATAGAGACTAGTAAGTGACTGGGTAAAGATTGTCAGTGAGCACAACTAGCATTCCTATTTTAGATAAAACTCTTTTGTGTGAGCTTATTTTTTAAAGGATACACCAAAAGGAAAATTGGGCAAAGACAAAACAGTGTTTAGGGGTTTACAGGTTTTGTTTTGTTTGGGAGGGTGGAGACGGGGCTGAGCCCGGGATGAGATGTGGCCTTTTTATGAGAAAAACTTGCGACAGAGTCTAAGTCACAAAGTTGCCCAAGCTGTCACAAAAACAAAACAATCACCAAAAAATGCAAAAGCACTTGCCCTGCAAGCCCCCAAAACATTATAAAGACACAATCAGGAACATTTTTGCTTTACCAGGCTTCTGAGACAGTCTGACAGTGAAACCTGTAGAGTATTCTAAGAATATTTTCTGAGCCCAGTATGGTGGCACACACTTGTGACCCTAGCACTGCAAAGGCTGAGACAGAAGGGTCACTTCAGGTTTGAGAGCAGCTCAAGTAACTAATATTACACACAAAAAACTGTCAATGGGTATGAACAATCACTTCAAAAAAGGTAACCCCAAATGTATCATAAACTCTAAATATAACAAAAAGTTACACTTCACAAATTATTAAGTTAAATTAAAACAGGAAGGTCTCTTGAAGTTGGTAGAAAAATATAGGGAAAATGACATTCCAAGAGAAAATTAGAAGTGTTACAGACTTTTGGAAAGCTAATAGAAAAATTTTTCTGTTTTTGTGAGTCGGCCTTACCACGTAGCTCAGGCTGGTCTTAAACTAAGTAGCTTAGGTCAGTCTTGAATTTGGGGTAATCCTCCTACCTCCTACCTCAGCCTCCCAGGCAATGGCCACCAGCTCAAAATTTAAAAACACGTTTTCTTTGAGCCATGGATCCCACTCGTAGATATCAAGTTACAATGGAGATCTAACACATACAAGGACACTTACTATGGTACTATCTGCAATGACAAAAAATGGTAACAAGATAGTATCAGTTACTAGAAATGGCAAATAAACTATGGTATACTCATATAATGGAATTTTTTTATTTTTTTTGGTACCAGTGATTGAACTCATGATCTTATACTTGCCAGGCAGGCACTTGTCCTGCTAAGCTAAACCCCGGGCCCATATCATGGAATATTAACAATATATTATAGAAAGAAATGTTACATGTATATAGTAAGTGTCTTTGGAGGGAGTTTCACAATTTATTATTAGGCAAAAAAAAAAAAGCAATATGCAGACAAATATGTATTACTTAATAAAATTTTAAAAATATGAAAATTCTAACTATACGTGAAATAAATATATATCCATCTGGATCTACACACATATACTTAGAGGCTATGGAGAGAGAGGGTACAGGTGCCAGATTGTGAGACTGACATTTTAGGCAGGGGGGAGGACAGGAGCAACTGAATGAAAAAGAGATTTAAACAACTGAACACAAGACCCTAAAATTGAGGAGTCTTAAAGTAGCATATAGAGACTCACAAATTTCTATATATTCATAAATATATGGAAGTAATCCTACTAAAATGTTAACGGAACACATATACTCACAAATGCTGTAGATTTAGCCCCTCCCCACTTCCAGGTTAAAATTGCCAGAACAAAATATGAACTTGTTGGTTTATATAAGTGAAGATCCAGATATGTGTGTCGCTTCGGTTCTCATTTGATCCAGGGGTTCCAGACTGCAGTGGGTTTTCCAGTTTAGACCTCCTCTTGCTTGGTACAACCTCAGGCTGATTTCTTTTTATTAGAAAAATTAGCTTCAGCAAGAAATCTTACTCTTCAAACATACCATGTGCAAGGTGATTTTCTACACCCAACACATCCTCAGCAAACACCTGATCGTATCTCACTGGCACACTGCGTTAGCTGCCCTTCACTGACCACTTACTCTTGTGGAAGGAGACACTACTAGAGGCAACCTGGCCAATGCAGACTGCGGTGGGCAGAACAATGCCACCAGAGCACAGGCATGTTTTGCATCCCTTTTGCAGGGATGCAAAAGGGACTATGAGAAGGCAACAAGGGTAGTGGGCTCCTGGTGACAGAAAGAAACAGAGGCTAACAGTTACCACAATGGAAATGAACAGGGATTAAAATACAAATGCCCAATAAGACATCACAAAGGCTCAATTTCACTGGTAGTTGAAATACAAATAAAACTAGAGTCTGCTGCTTATCAGGTTAAAAAAAAAAGAACCTATATACATGTGAAGTGGAAGGAGGCAAGCCAGAGCAGGCTCTCACTGCTGCTTTAAAGCACGTGCATTGAACAGCCTCAACCAAACGTCAGGTAAGCAAACGATGACATACACAGAAGTATTATTGGTTCTTAAGTACCACAGTAAGCTTACAACAAAAACACAATTTTAAAAACCACATCAAAGTTGACTAACAGATACTCTCATCTAAAATGAAAAGACATAACTACTTATTTCAAGTTTTGAGTTAGTCTCATTCTATGTATTCTGTTCTCTCAATACTTCAGACAAAACTCAGGGTGAAGGTGACAGCTGACTACTCATGGCAGAACTGGAGTTGAACCAACCAAGTGCCTTCAGGTAACTCAATGTTATTCTACTATCCAACTACAAATGTGGATAAAAAGTTCTTACGGTTTTATTGGTGAAATGGACCACAATGACTAGAAGTGTAATGCTTTAATACTGAGAAACCCAGCTGTCCCACGTCACTTGTAAAATACTATACACAGACACACACAGACACACACAGACACACACACACACACATGCTGTGCTTTAAAACACTGGGGCTTTTTAAAGCACCAGTGTTAAGAACGACTGTCCTGTAAGCACACTTGGTAGAGAACCAGTGTTAAGAACGACTGTCTTCTCTCACACATGGTAGAGAATCATGTGTATTTCTTGAATATACAAACTACAACCAGAAATGTCAATGAAGTATGAGCTTGTGAATGACATTAAAATATTTGAAGTAAGACAGGCTCCCCAGATTTTGATTTCAAGTAGACTGTTTTCAATCCAAAAGCAATTAGGGAGGTATGTTGCTGCAAGGCCCCTGTGGATCCTTTACTATGTCAGAGATTTTTATGCCTCTCTGAGAATTGAGAGAAGCATCTACTCCAAAAGACTTGCACAGTAGGTTCACATCAACAGGTGTTACCCTACTATCAATAAATCTGAAATACTCTTACACAGGAGAAAAGAGTGATAAAGAAATAGGGGAACTCTTGCTGTGTTGAAAGAAGCTAGTGCTAACTGTATTAAAGAGAAGAATTTGTGCTAGTACTGTTCAGATGATTACATGCAAACATCATGTACTCTGAGTAACTGATCTGAAGATAACAATGTGCAATGCATATACCATTGTTACCCCCTAATTATTGTTTTAACATTTTGCTTTATTTTTCTCTTTAAAATAAAACAGATTTGAAAAGTAAAGGGGGGATGATTAAGAGTATGCCTCCAGGACTGTAAATGCCTTGACCTTAAGACAATGATTAGTTACATGACCTTGGAGAAGTTACCTAAAATACTTGTTTCATTATCCTTTTCATTAAAATAAGCATAACAGAGTGCCAATGTCTTTAAGTTACTGTAATATTTAATGTGGTAATTTAGTACACAGAATGGTACCTAGCACCAAGGAAGCTTTCAATAAATGCTAACCAGCACTCATCAGTTGAAAAATCATTTGTTTACATCTACATTGATATTCAAATACTATACTCTAATTGTTCTACTTGTACACTTACAAAAGGTTCTTTATGAATACTTGAAATAATTCTGAAAACAATTAAAAATCACTCGGGAATGTAGGTAGTACCTGATTTTAGATATTACAAATATAATGCTTACAAAGCCTCCACTAAGCTTCAACAGAATAGTAAAATGAAAGACACATAATATAATTTGAGTAACATGACACTTAAATGTTCCTCAACTGATGACAGTAACAGGAAAATGTACAGTACTTCCATGCACAAATGCAGCTTGGGAAAGCAAGCTATATTTATTCAAAAACTATGAATGTTTGCAACATAAACCAAACAAAGTTCTTGAAATTATATTCAAGTGATCTGTATGTATCCAAATCCTACCAAATCAAGCAATAATTCGAAGTACACAAAGATTACTACATAACCAAAGGAGCAAAAAGTAATGGCAAAGTTTTGTCAAAACAACTCTACATAAATACACCAATCTAAAGCTTAATGCAACAGGACCAAATCATAAGCACATGTTAGCTACCTTTCGGTAATACTGCAAAATACACAATGGATAAAATCTTTACTCACATGTAATGTAGACTAGCAAATATAAACCCAGTAGAGCGTAAGGTTTTCATATGTGAAGATGTGTATTTTGTAAAGAAAACAACTTCAAGTAAAATTATTAACACACATACTGCAAAGGACTACAAAAATGTTTATCACTTGCAATTATACATAGAAAATAAAGTGCCAAGAAATTATTTTTACTGAAGAGTGGGTGACATCTTCGAAGGATCAATTACTTACAAACAGACTTAAAATAGCAGAAACCAAAGTAAATTAAATAACAAGAATGAAAAAACACACATGTACAATAGCAATAAGTTAGAAAACAATACTGTGGCAAAGATTTATTAGTTTTGAGAAACTAATGATTGCTTGTTACAGTAAATTATCAACATTTTCATTGCAACAGTATTTTCCCACACTTAGAATCCAGAAGGACTATGTCTTTCTCAAATTGCCATTTAGTGTTTTTTCCCCACTCCTCAAAACACAGAAATAGGTTTTTGAATATCAACTAGCCATTTATGAAAGCCATAAGATACAGATATTCATAAACATCACACAAATTACAATGAAGGGATCTGGACATACACAACCAACATTCATGAAAAAGATGTTGGTTTTTGAAGTGGTAGGTACTAAAGGAGTTTTAATCAGCACTACTCATGTTCTGAAACCAAAATGAGGAAAAATCTTATTGCCATCCTGCCAAACACCATGTAACTAAAAAACACTGCGCAAAGGAACATGAATCCAACATATTTATCACAGGATTGAAACTACGAACGACCAACCTAATCAATGAGATAAGTTAAAAAGTAATACCAAACTTCTTTAATATACCAACACTATTTTGGAAGCATCATCTTAACAAAGAGGAAGTGAATTATGAATTGGCCTGAGCTACAGTCTGTACTGAGATTTTGCTTAGCAGTAAAAGAGAATCTCAGACATCCTAGGAAGAAAGTGGTGAAGTCATGCTCTTTGTTACTCCTCAAAGGAAATCTGACAGGCTTGGTGGTATCTCTTTATTTCCCAAAGGTTCCAGGAATTCTACATACCAAGTAATTCAGTAATTAATAGGAGTATTTAAGCAAAAGAGACCAAAAGCAGGCTTTATGGGTGTTTTTAAAAAATTACATGATAAATGTAAATCATAAAATCAAATGTACTCATAAAGGTACACCTATTTTACGTTACATAAAAAACTGCAGACTACAAACTGCGCATGCTTACCATAACATTTTACCTGGGAAAGCCGATGAGTGGGATTTCTCGCAAGTATTTACTGCCATGATACAAAACAATTATGTGCAAACTGCAAGGTCCCTAAAATAGCAGTTGGAGTTTATATACAGAAAGATGTCACTATCTCATCAAATACGCAAGAAATGGAGCTTCCCAGAGTTTATAACACAGAACAGTAACCACCACAGGCCCCTCCTCCGTGGCTCTCTTCCATGTGTGACAGTTTGACTCCTTTATTCTGGTTCTCACTCTCCCACAGTCCAGGGGTCTGAATGATCTTTTCAACAAGTTCCTCAAAGGCACATTGTACACCATCACAGGTTTTTGCACTTGCCTCTGAAATTCAAGGAAAAAGATCATAGAATATTACTTTTCAACCATACTCCTCTGTTTTCCTGAGAAACTTTCATGGTATAAATATCAGCCTATGATATGCTGAGAGCTGTATCAGCGATTTCTTCTCAGAAGTTGAATATTAATTTCTCAACTCTTAAAATTGAGCTATTTAAATCTCATCCATTAGAGTGCTACCATGGGAGCCAAACATTTGGGAAGAGAATTGTAACCTGTAAAACCATACTCAAATGGTATGTCAAAGTTATTTCTTTAGGCTTTAACTCTTAAAATGAGCTCCTGAAACAGATACTTTTTCATTTTAAAATGGTGAAATACAATAATGATATTCACACTCCAACTTAAATGATTAACCTGATTATTCTGTGTGCACAAACAATTATCTAGAGGTGGCTCAATAAAAAGAATACAATGGTGACCTCACTTCGTGAGCACAGCTTCGCCCCCCCCATCTCTTCAGTGTCCTCTCCCTGTCAGAAGTGACTTAATTGTACTTCTCTGTCTCACTACTCTTCCATCTCAGCTGCTGATGCGCACTTTCTTTGACAGTAACTACACTGGGAATCGAACCCAGGGCCTCTGCACTAAGCTACCTCTCAGACCTTTTTTGTATTCTGGGACAGGATCTCACCAGTGGGAGACAGCTAAAGAAGGAGCAAGACAGAGAAAGGAAAAGGAGAGGGGAGGAAAGAAAGGGAATGGAGGGAAAGAGAAGAGAGAGAAGACAGAACTGGTCTCTTGCTCCCACTTCTCAACAGCATATTCTGCACAAATGGACTTTCACAGCAGACCAGATCGCATCACCACTGCTCTCCACCTCACCCAGAACAAAGCCACCTCTTTACACACTCCTGTGAGGTCCCATCTCCCGCCATCACCGGCCTTCTCCTCCCGACATGCACTGTGTCTAGTCCACAAGCTTTCTTTTCATTCCTTAGACATTAATCTTGTCCTTCCATCATGTTTGCTATTCCCTCGCCCTGGAAAGGGTGTAAAGGAGGCCTAATTCCTTTATGCCTTACAGGCCTGAGGGCTGCCTGAGTGGCACTGCCTTAAAGAACCTTTGTTCTTGGCTCCTGTCCAGGGACTCCCTCTCCCTTACAAGGCTTTCTTTTCTCCACAGCACTACTTACTTCTAATATACTGCATTTCAGATCCATGATAAGGCGTAATGACTTGTAATTTTTAAAAGCTCCCAAATGATTTTGATACAACTAGCTCACTTTTCTAGATGAGGGGTTTGCAAACTTTCTCTGTAAAGGGCCAGCTAACAAATACTTGAGGGACACAGGGCCTCTGTGATAAATGAGCATAAATGAGTGGACACAGCAGTTTGAATGAACAGGAAGCCAGATCTGATTCAGGCTGCCAACCCCTACTCCACCATCTCCATCAGTGTTCATGAGCAAGTTCTTTTCAAAACTGTTGATTCTCTAACTCAGAAAATGCAGGGCAGGGCCTAAGGTGAAGCATTTCCAACAAACAGCCAGGCATGGCAGAGCTGTAGCATCAGAAGCCAACTTTACCAAATGCCACCTATTCCGAGAGGGATGATTTAATGGCTCTATATACTTCCAGGGAATAAGATCCCATTTTCACAGGAAGAAAGAGATCTCATTTTATAGTCTTTTGCAGCATAAGAGAACTATCAATTGAACACAAGTATGTCCTGCATCATAAATATAATAAAGCATGATCAAAATACACAGTGAATGTTTAAATTTTAAATGTTTTACAGTGGAAAACATATTGGCATTAATCTCCTTCAACATATTCCTGCTTACTCTGAACATACTTATCCTATAATTCTGTCACTTTCTGAAGCTGTTCTGTAAGTCTTTTACAAGGTGGATCACAAACTGCAAATGCTGCTGCTGAGTGCCATCTGCGGAGAGGCAGATGCGTAAAACGCGATGGCAAGTCCTCCTCCAAGCAGCCCGGGTCTGGCACGCCACTCATTTCTGGTTCTCCTTCCGAGTCAAAATGACCATGAAAGTAAACATACTGGACATACTGCACATCAAGGCAGCCACAAATGTGCAGCTTGAAACATGAAAGAGTGTGTCCAGACTACCTCAGAAAGTAGCAAAAACAAAAGGGATTAGTGCTCCTCAAGTGAGGGGCAGCATTACAAGGGTAATTAAAGGCAACGTATCTTTTACTGGAATCAATTTTTAAGCATGCACTGTTCTTTTCAATCACAGCTCGTCATCAGGGACACAGCTCAGTGGCACAAGTGCCAGCCTGGCAAGTGCAAGGTCCTGAGTTTGATTCCTGGTACCAAAACAAAGAAACAAAATCACACCTCAAAATTTTAAAAACACTCTTTTCAAAAATTCCTGTTAAGCTGGGCATGGTGGTACAAACTTGTAAGCCCAGCACTCAGGAGGCTGAGGTAGGAGGATTGCTGAGTTTCAGGCAGCCTCGGCTTACATTTGATCAAGATTGTCTCTAAATAAATAAATGAATCCTTATTAATAATGAAAGGACAGACATTCAGTAACATGCTTACCTATAAATAACATGGAATGTTTTCGTGCAAATTTCAGGCCTTCATTTCTATCAACTTCACGATTTTCCTAAAAGATAAACATGATGATAAACATGATGAAGAAAAGCTACTAAAATACAGAATAAAAATTCCAAGTGTCTGCCTTCTTACCTTATCGATTTTATTTCCAACTAGCATGTTTACTATGTCATTTCTTGTACAGTATGTTTCCAACTCATTCAACCAATTATCCAGCTTAACAAAGGTGTCTCTTCTTGTGACATCATAAACTGAAACACAAGCAGTCATTCATTAAGCACTAAAAAGAGGCAATAACATCATATTTCTGACATGTAGCTGGAAGCTAACACCACCATTGCCAAATCTTTCCTGTTAGGTCTTCAGTGCCTAATAATGACCATACGGATGCATATGGATGAAACAAGGGTTCAAAAGGCACATGTAACACATTTCAATCTCATTAACACATGTGGTAATTGAAATGAAATTATATACTTGTCTGGCAACTGAAACCAATTTCCCAAAACAATAGTGTTCCTGTTCATAATAATTAAAGGAACTCTGTCTAAATATGAGCGTTTAGGTCCAATTCTTTTATATAAACCTAAACACACTTTGATAAAAGTACAGTACAGTCAGTGAATGGGATCTTGAGTGCCTTCTCTATTATCTCTTTCACCTTATTAATTTTACACAGAAGGCTACTAATTTAAATCGTTTTCTAACAGTTGTTACAGTTTGTGTCTAGATGTCCCCCCAAAGCCTCATGCAGTCGTGAGGGGTGGGCTTTTCAGAGACGGCTGAATCCACAGCTTGCGACTGATTCATGGTCCAGTACTGGGACGAAGGCTGTGAGTGCCATACTCACCCTGGGGCAGGCAGCCGCACACAGTATAAGGGACAGAGGGGGCTTGCCCCTCTCGTTGCTTTTTGTCCTTTGCCACCACGACCTGCTGCCCCTCTGCCATGTGCCACCCTGCCTTGCAATCAGCTGATTACAGAATGAAACCTCTACAAACTGTGAGCTAGATTAACCTTTACTCCATCTTGGGTGTTGAGTATTTTGTCTCAAAAATGGGAAAAGTAACTAAAGATAACAGTTTCCCAGGAACATGTAGCTAAGAACTTTTTCCCAAATCACACTGAGAACCCATATGCAGTCTTCAATTTTGTTTGACTATAACTGTTAAGTGTGTTGTACATTTTTTTTTTTTTTTTGGTACTGGGGATCAAACTCATGACTTTGCACTTTCCAGGCAGGTACTCTTGCCACTGAGCTAGTATCTCCAGCCCTTGTGCTTTTTCTGTTTGTTTTTGGTTTTGAGACAGTGTCTTGCTGTGCTGACCTCCAACTATGTAGTCCAGGATGGCCTCAAATTTGAGGTTATCCTCCTGCCTCAGCCTCCCAAGTATTGAGATTATAGGCAGGTGTGTGCTTTCTTCTCCTCTTGCTCCTCCTCTTCTTCGTCTTCATCATCCCTCCCCTCACACCTTTATCATCATTGTTGTCTTCTCTTTTTTTGGTACCAGGAAATGAACTCAGGACCTTGTACTTACCAGGTTTTTGCCAGGCAGGCGCTGTGCCACTGAGCTCTCTCCCCAGCTCTGTGCTTTCTTTCATAATCACAACTGATAGAACATGTTCTACTAAGCAACAAATATCCTCCCTTTAAACATGGAAGCCAATGTTAATTCACTGATGTATACAGATCAGTGCTTGGGAATAATCCAAGGCAGACCAACACATATGGGCACAATGTCAGTTACATCCTCATTAACATGTACTTTTAGTCAAAGAATGTGATTTTATCTTATTTTTTAATTGCTATGCAAAGACTTGAACAAAATTTTAAAAGTTTTAGTATCTATTAAGAAAAAATGAATTCAATATAACTGTAAGTTATATAAAAGACCTATAAAGGAGAATTTATTTATCTTTTTATTTTTGTCTTTTCAAGACAAGGTCTCACTATGCAGTTCAGGCTACCCTTGAGCTTACTTTGTAGCCCAGGATGGTCTCGAATTTGCAAATGATTCTCTTGCCTCAGCCTCCCAAATGGAATGTGCTACCATGCTCAACTCGTAAAGGAGAATTTAAAAAAAAAAAATTATTATCTTCCCTAGACTAGGGAAATAAAAAGCAAACCCCAATAAATACTACTGTAGAATACAGCATATGTAAGTAAAAACTTACCTAATATAACACCCTGTGCACCTCTATAGTAGCTGGGAGTTAATGTTCGAAACCTCTCTTGACCAGCAGTATCCTAGAAGGGACAATTATTTTTAAAAAAAGACATAAAATGATGGACTTAGAAAGCCAAACAGCATTATTAAATATACTATCAATGCACAAGCTAATTAAACAGCTCAGACAAATATTACAATGAAGCACAATAAATAAATACTGACTTAGCTCTATAAAATACAGTGATTGTTAAGGTTTTCTGGCATTTTGGATTAACAATTTATCAAACACAAAACTTCATTGAAAGCCATAGTTCTCTTGTTGCAAAACCAAACCCTTTGGGCATCTTTGTGTCCAACCCCCCAAGACTATGACTTAACAGAATGCAAATAAATGTATTTTATTTATTTATTTATTTATGTATGTATGTATGTATGTATGTATGTATGTATGTGTTTATTCATTTTTGAGGCAGAGTTTCACTGTGCAGTTCAGGCTGGCCTTGAACTCATTTTGTAGCCCAGGCTGGCCTCACACTCGAAATGATCCTACTGCCTCAACCTAGTGGAGTGCTGGGACTACAGGTGTGAGTCACCACATCCCAGCCAAAAATGCAAATTAAAATAACTTTCCAAATTATTCTAATGTTGAATCAAAGCTGGGAACCACAGATTTAAAGAGAAACATACAGAGGTATCTTATTTCAAGTAAGGAACTTTTAGATTGGGTTTGTATAAGGATTTTCATGTTTTTTTTTTTTTTTTAAAGGAAAATGAGTAGTAGTAAACCACTCCTTATATTTTTCTGACTTGTAGTAGGGATCATGAATTACAAAGGATGTACTACATTAGAAACACAAATTTGACAGGAGACGGGGTCTCACTGTTCTGAACTCTGGTCCACAGAGCAATTCTTGCTATATGATAGTTGTTCCAAACCTGACCGGGAAGGAAGAACTAATCTCTCAAACCCAATCTTCCAGGCCTATTTCCTTCTGTGGGCTTTCTACCTCACTATTGGGCTGCAGCTTCAGAGTCCCTGAGGTTATACAAAGCAGCAGGTGGTGAGCTGCCAACCTTAGCTCACCATCTCTTTTATTATGTAAGAATGTATTAAACAAAGTCTGGCCCATTTACATATTACCCTATGGCTTGATGTAGGGTTGGACTTTCATTACCATGTGGCACTTTAAGAAAAACTTTGCAATGCTGCCATGGCAGCCCATGCTTATAATCCCAGAACTCAGACAGCTGAGGCAAGAGGATCACCTGAGCTACATGGTAAATTCAAGCCCACTGAACTACACAGCAAGACTTTCTCTTAAAGAAAAAAGAAAAAGCTTGCAGTTGGCTGAAAATAATCTGAAAGAAAGTAAAGACACATATCAAACCGCAAGTTAGTTATTGGGTCTCACTGTGATAAATTTGAGTTTTGCTACAGGACAAGCAGTGAAATATATAAACCTAAGAGAGTTTTAAGACTGGAGGCGGTTTCAGTAACAGAATGTCTTTGGCTGGCTGAAAGAGAGACTGTTATAAGACAACAGAATATTTGAGGAAATTTACAGTCCCAGAAACAAAAGGAAAATATTTTCTTTCTTTTTTTTTCTTTTTCACCAGGGATCAAACTCACAATCTTGCACTTGCCAGGCGGCTATATCCAAGCTCAGTTTGCTGCTGAGCTATATTCTTAGCAAATAACTTTCCACATAAACCACTTTAAACATCATCCACTCTTCCACAGATAAACTTCCATGAATGCAGAGTTTTTTTTTTTTTAACTCTTTGGAGAAGCATGTTTTTATTTCATTTTTAAAAACATCATTTTAATTTTTCAGTACATAATGATCACATTCTTAAATCTTATATCCTCTTTCTCTCTCCTCCTCCCTCCAACGCTTCTTTCCTTCCAAATTTACAAAAGCTCTACTTTTATTTTTTTTCATTCTTTTTTCTTTCAATACCCTTTCTCTTTCCTCCTCTGCCGTCTCTTTTTTCTCTTCCCATTTGAACAAATTCTACTTCCTAATATCTCTGTCCCATTTTTCTCCTTAGTTATACAGTACTGTGAGTTTCTCATACAAGTAAAGTTATAAATGCCAATTGTTTTGCTTCCAGATCCTCATCTCTGTAGAAACTAGTTCTCTTGGTTACCATGATTAAGTAAAATAACAGTTAAGATTAAACTTTCTAAACAGATACATATACAACATAAAAATGGTTTCTCTGTTTACAAAAATTTTCTTATAAAACCTGCTTCTGATATTAAAGTTATTCAATGTGCATATTTACCCACATTTTCAGGAACAATAAAATAAAACTACATAAAGCAGACTTATCATCTAAGCCAACCATAATTTTGATGACATGATACACGTTGATATTTTGATTTAATAATCACTAATAAAATCTCACATGGATCCCCAACAGTTTTTTTTTATCACTATGATCAAGGGACCAAAACTTAATTTTATAGGAAAAATTCAAGGCAAATCATAATGATGCAATTTCTATGTTTATACCGTCACTTTAGAAAACAATTGGGAGTGCATGCACTTGGGTTATATACAGAGAGAGGTATAGTTACATATACACACTCCAAGTGTTCACAGCCTCAGTTTAGTAGCTACTTGAGAAAATCTCATTCATAAAAACTAAACAGCTGGGTGTGGGGGCACACACATGTAATACCAGTACTCAGGAGGCTGAAGTTGGATGGTCATTGTATGGTTGAGGTCAGCCTGCAGTACATAGTGAGACTAAGGCTACCTTGAACTACCTAGCAAGACCCTACTGCAAAAAAGCAAAAAACAAACAAAAAACCTAAATAAAAATTATGTTCTAAAAGGCTATATACCTCAGAAATTTACTTATATGCAAACATCATAAGTTAACAACATTCACTGTACTCAGTATACACTGTAACTCTTGGAATTCCATCATGCTAACCATTTAAATCAGTACTACAATCTTAAGAGAAAGAAAAGGCTGTATTTAAAAGATAAGACTCGGTTTTGGAACAGAAAATTTGGAAATTTAAAACTTAGCTATTTTTCCATAAATGGAAGTTTCATTTTCCTAATAAATAATTTTAGGCAAGAAGCAAGTATGAAAATAATGCAGTTCTAAAATCTTTTTGTTATGATAGGAAAAGAGCCACTCTTTTGATGTAAGGAATTCTGTCCATAACTCTCTAGTGAATGGACTTCCAGTGGCAGAAAGTGAATATTTGAATGAACTGTTGAATGAACTTTATCAAGTCTTCACTGAGATCAACTTCAAAAACTGCCATGAAGAAACACAAAATAAAAATTAGAACTGCATTTCCAATTAAGATAGCCATATAACCTAATATTTTAAAAGTAAAGACAATACCATGAAATGTTCCAATGTTCAAACATTACACATGACTCTGACATCTTACATGTGACTATTTACAAGACAGTCTTGACATCTTCCGTTTACTAACAAAAATGTTAAAATAATACTTGGGCAAAGGACAAGACCCTGTTACAAAAGCACTGGATCAGGATTTATCTAACTACATACTGAACAGTCAGAAGCCGAGCTTTTGCTTGTCTGTTTTTAAAATCAGGGATATGTAAGTGTTATAGTATCTTTGTAAGACCAATGAAGCACACCTTTGTCTCTAAGCTGTGTTTTTATCTTCTGATGAGGTAAAGACAGGAAAAGTTATTAAAGACACAATGGATAAATCAAAGGCTAAGATCTTGAAAGGCTAAATAAAACGAAAGGAGTGCAAGTAAGACAATGGTGTAAGGGGAGGCAATCCAACAAAAACCTCAGACATCAGGAGCACGCACTTAGCGTACACAGTGGAGGCGGAAGTACATGTAACTATTTGATTGATCCCTGAAGCTGCAAGGTGAGAACTCACTGTATATCTGTAAATAAAACCATGGGATTGGAGAACTATAGATTCATATATTTCTAATAGTCAATGGAAAGGCATTCCTAAAATAGGGTGTGAAGAAAATAAACTATCAGTCATGAAGAAAATAAATTATTTGACCATATACCTACTAAAGTCTTGGTATGGCAAAAACATCCTGTCTTTCATCTTTAGTAAGATTTGAGTGTATGTAACAAGCTGGGAGAAAGAAAGAATCCAGGTCATATGACAGAGTCAGTATCACACTTATGCCTAAGAATATAACCCAATATTAAGATTCATGATTTTTATCCTTAATGCAGTTTTTACTGGTACAGTTTTAGATACAGCAATGATCGCACTCTTGTGGAACTCGTACCTGGACACAATATACACAGTTCTTATTTTTTCCCATTCCCCTCCCCGCCCTTCTGCCTCCTTCCCTTTATTTACAAAGATTTCTTTCCATTTTATCTTTATGTTCTTCTTCTTTTCCCTTTCTTCCTTTCCCCGCCACACCTCCCTTGTGCCTCTTCACATTTGAACGTTTCTATACTATTTCACAGTATCTATCCTCCAGTCTGGTCCTTATTTAACTTGCATTGTTCTCACATCAGAGACTGTCATATTTAAATGTGTGTGTCTGATGTATTTCACGTAAGAATATGGTCTCAACTGAGACCAAAGATAGCAGCAGAGAAAACAGTCTCTCAGAGAGTCGCCATCCAGATACTGGAATATAACATTGTAAGGAAGAGACAATGGGAAATAAAGTGGGTCCCCTGGACCCAGAAGGGTTTGATGTGCAAAATGAAGCCCAGAGAGAGTGTGAAAAAAAAAAAACTTGAATGCAGAAGTCAGTGGTAGCCAATGGCACCTTCTCCCTAAGATGGGACTCATGCACGACAGGAGAGGTTCAAATCTGTGAACGCACAGTCATGGTCACACTGATGGCTGGTGACTCCAGAGGCCCCTGCAGAGAGATACAGCAGTAGAGGGCAGCAGTGGACATTAGTCCTCCAGTAGGAGAGAGCAATTGGCCAGGAGCCATCTTGGAGACAGGCTAGCTGAGCTCAGAAACCAGAACTGCTGCCGGCTCCATCTAGCAGAGGTTCCTGCTGGGCTAAGACCAGCAAAGCTGCTCGGGCAATGGTGAGCCCAAAGTGCCTGCTCTCAGGGCAGCCTGCT